AATCATCCACGATTCTTTCTCGCTATATATTGTTTTAATCACCTTTTGAAGTTGAATTGTTGCATTTTCGGGTTTTAGATTCAGTTCGCAGATTTTATAGAAGCGGTCGTAATGAATATATTCGCATTCTATTTTAGCTTGGCATTTTCCTACGCATGACCAGAGAGATGTTTCCGTTATCATGTTGAATATATTTCCGTTTAATTTGCTTGCATGTTTAATTCCTTTAATTGTTAAGGATGTCAGAGATGACCCAAAAAAAAAGAATACACACAAAGTTAGTGTTATTAACGGTATTTTATTTAGAGTAGACATTTTTTTATTTAACTTCTCTGCTGAATAATGAACCAAATGCGTCAAAACGCTTCAAAACACTTCAACATTCATAATGTACAAAAATGCAATGGTAACTACTTTCAGCGGACTATAGGAAATCGTTTGTTTTGTTACGTTGTTATCGCGAGAGTTAAATTCTTTTATGTTCTCTTTCCAGACAAAAGCATTTACATCTTCTGCTATTTATTTGTCTTCGATCGAATATAAACAGAAGTTATGCATCAAAATGAATAAAGTAGCATGAAAACAATTGCCAGTTTGAAAGGATTTGTTTAAAATAGCTTAAGTCAGGAAACATCATTTATATAAATACGCTGTACAAAGCCATTAGCTGAATCTTTGTAAATATGAATCTGAGAAGAACAAGTTAAATATTGATTTAAAAAAAATGGAAAAATGGAAAAATGTAAATATTTCCGATTATAGTGATGGTGTTAAGGTGACAACGGAGTCAATTATCACTGAAAATACCTAAAATGAGATTTTTTGCTAAGTAGATTTATCAACCTTTTCTGAACACATTCGTGATTTAATTTTGGAAGCAGTTAGTCCAAAAAATGTGTTTTTAAACGTTTTAAAACGGAACCTATACTATTTGTATCTGCTATTCGCGTAACCTGTCGATTATCGATAACGCTCCGCCCCCTGTTGAGGCATCAATGAGGGAAATCGGTAGTTCCATATATCCGTGAATTACAGGTCCATACTGGTCCATACTTCTCGTAATACATGTATCGTACAACTAACGTACATCTTTTATGAATATCTCAACATTTAGCCTTTTTTATAAATTAAGAAATTGTCGGCCAATGTCCGTAACATAATGTATGAAACATAAATAGTTAAGCATAGCGGCAAATCGCACGACCACGGGGTTGATTAAAAATGTAGTTGCTACAATATACATAATGTGTGAAAATAATTTGTCTGTCCCGTTAATCTGATAGATATTACGTTGAGTTGATAGACTTTTGTACGGATTCAAGGGCTTACTTTACATTCAACCTCGTTTTCTAACAATGTCAAGTAAAACAACAACAAAAACAGACATTTTTTATGTGAACGCCTGTGTGACTTGTGGTAAGGTGTCCCTGACAAATTTCTAAACCATTTTAGATTGTCTAAGGATGATTATTTCTCTATAAATAAAAAAAAAGATTTTAAAATATATTCTCAGTGAAAATAAATTGTTCGCCAGTAATTCGGACACAGTACTAAAAAATCTGGGACAAAGTATGAAATTTATTGTCTATCCTGGTAGAAACTGGATCTAGAGCTATGCCGTGCATAGATGATATTCATAATAGAAGTCAAGAAGGCCAGATCATAATGATCGAGTAATACCTTTTATTTCTATTAAAATATGTGAAGCATTATCAATTTGGTGGAAAAAATATATAATATCCCGTTCTTATTTGTACATCTACCATGGACTTTAAACGACTGTCAGAAGCTTAGTTTTTTGTTATTTTATTTTATATTTTAACGGAATTTCATACACGAATACACAGGCAGAGTGACACTGGTATAATACAATAATAATGCTGATGATAATAATAATAAACTTCAAAAGGAAACAATTAAATACCCCGCTAGCGGTGCGCAAATGCGTTCCATTTCCCCCCACTGAGTGCCTCAAATTTTACCGAAAGTCACGTGACATGTGCGACAGATACCAGACGGGCAGTAAATCACGTTAAGAATTGAAGAAATTTCGGCTATAAACTGATATTAATCAGCACTTTTTTAATTGGTCGGATGTCACTGGGTCATAAAATGTTGTTAGAGTATGTTACCGCAACTTGTGACCCTCTCTGGTGCGATATTTGTGTATTATGCAATTATTTAGCGTGAAACGTAGGGGTCCGAGAGAGAATAGCCGATTTATGACACTTCGTTTGATGCGGGTCGGACTAACTTTGAATCGGCATAACTTTTTTAATAATCAAGCAATTAACATGCGGTTTAAAGCACATGAAAGGAAATTCATTTACGGAGGGAACCGTGTCAGGGATTTTTGTTTGCTCAATAGGCGACTTAATTATCTTTAATTACGTAATATGTATGGTGAAAAAAGTCGCATAAAATGTTTGACGTTACGTAATATTTTTTTGAGAAAAGATAGAAAAAATTTGAGACACGGTTCCCTAGATAATATAAGTATGGTTATTTTCCAAAAGTTTGATGACAAAAAATTAAAAAATGACTTTGATATGACGATTTAAAATTTTAGGATTTTTATTCAAAATCAATCATTTACAAAGGCATTTTTTTCAAATATGTTATTTTTTATGATGATCAACGACATTTAATGCACAAAGATTAATTAAATAACAATTATTACTAAAATAACTTTGTTTAAATGACATTTATGTGAGTACCACGGAAAGTGTCTGTTGTCACCTTAAGTGGAATGTGATTCAAATGAAATGTTGACTCTGATTTATAACTAAACATTGATTTATCAAAACATTAGGTTGACTTATGCTAAAATGCAAATTTGGCTCGATATATTAATATATTACGGTGCCTTTACCATCTGACTTTTTGTAATCACGAAATTATTTAGTAGGTCCAGGATTTATTGCCTTATTTTTAGTTACTTTTTTAATAAAAATTCAATTTATTGTACTGTGATAAAGTATGGAGCACAGTCACGCAAACATAAGAATTTTGTTGAGGATTTGTTTCTATCCTTTTTATTTTATTTAATTTTATTTGTCAAGTGAAACACGCACCTACACCGTGCTCTGCTTTCGTCGTGCTATTTCGTATTAAGCAAGGGTTATCTGCATTTTATAAAGAATTTTGGTTTATATTGTTTATTCTAAACAAAAAGAAGTACCCAATAAATGTCATCTGGTGTGTCTGTCTGTGCGTCCGTCCGTCCGTCTTTTGGCAATTTCGTGTCTTCTCTGTATCTTTTGAACCGATGAACTACTTGGCAGAAATGTTAGCCATAATTGGACGATGCATATTTTAGCTTACACAGGTCAAGATCACACTTACTCATCACGTATAATTATCATATTTTCGTGTCTGCACTGTATCTCTTGAACCACAGTAAGGAAAATTAAAGTATTTAGCAGAAATATTCCCTTAATGAGACGATTTTCAGAACACAGGTTTAGGCTTCCTCAGATATAGGCCCCACTCCGGGTGTAACAAAATTTGTATAGACTTGATACAGGAATCACAAATTTAAGTATTATTGTAGTCAACTACAATGCCTAAAGCTTACATGTTTGTATGAAGCATTGCATTGTGGTCCCCTATATAAAATTGATATGAATTATATGGCTTATGACAATATTTACCCCACTACAGGGATTACTTAGTAAATATAGACTTATAAAGGAATCTTTAAGATCCTGTATGTTGTAATTGAGGTTTTATCCCACACTTAAGTGAAATTATATATACGTATATAGTTATGCTTATAAAAACAATTTTCAAACACATTATAAAACAATTTTCAAACATCGTTGAATATGTAATATATGTGCTGCAAATATTTGTACATATTATATGTAATTATTAAAATATATGCATTCATTTCTATTGAAAAATTTGACTTAGACTTTATAGAAAATAAATTTTTTATTACCTCCCTTTATTTACATAAAATGTTATATTCGTTAATATCTTTATAAATAATGCTTTTTAGAACATACAAAATTGATAAATCTTAATTTTAGCATCATATTTATGATATAAAACCATAAAAAATGTGTTACAGGATCTTTAATGATTGAAACTAAAATGCCCAGAGCTAAGATATTTGGCAAGTAGCATTATACTGTGGTCCTCCACAAAACTAATTAAGTCATGTCCACTGGGTCACAATGTTAATGTAGACTAAATAAAAAAAATACATCTAGTAATTTTGTGGAAAACTATAGAGTCTGAAGCTTGAATCTAACGCATTTCCCAGAAGACCACTATAAAATAAGTTTTAAGACCCACCCATGGAGAAAGTCAAAGTATTAAATATTGAAATCATATATTTTTCAGTCAAGTGTCATGAAAGAGCCTCTTCCCTAAACTAAAGAATATTTTTGATTCATCGAACAAGTTTTCAATCGGGCATGTATTGCCTCACCTAAGGGGTGCTTTTGTTGTACATTTATTTCTTGATGAAGATATGTAGTGTTATCTTGAATTAGCACTGTCACAAAATGATGTTTTTCAAATTCCCGTTAAAATGCCGTTTTTACATGTTCGGCATTTTCTGGATAAATAGCTCAGTACCTTTTCAAGACACTTAAAACAACACTAAATATATGGAAAAAGTGATCCATCGGAAGCATTAAAATCAGCAATATTACATGAAAATTGCTGACTCGGTTTGATTGAATCTGTACATAAGGGATAACTTACTTTTACGAGTATAATTTGGTTAGCTAGTCTTTTGGTTAATACATTTGTCCAAGTGCCGAGTGCTAATTTGGAGTAGCGTAAAGATTTTTTTCATGGACCCTGTTTAAATGGCTAAATTCTCTTTTTTAGTTTGGAATATGTTTTTTGTTTAAAGGAATCCAAACAATTTGGTTAGTTATGACATTGGAAAGATCTTTACACACCTATCTGATCACCAACTTTCAAAATAGAATCGTGATTCAAACAATACAAAAAGACAATAAACTCTTTAAAACCTTTTCCATTTTAATATTCATCAAAATTAAAACACAAACATAGAAATCAGCGTTCATGCTTAATAGGACGTATTCTCACAAAATTTTATTAAGTCAAATAATTTCTTATCTGGAATTCTTGTACAAACACAACATGTTCTATTATAATTATAATCTTCCAGGAGATAGTTTCATATAAGCTTTAAGCTTTCTACTCAATCCTGAATGCAATTTATATATTGTAATTTTGTCTGTAAATATTGAAGAAGAAATAAATATTGTTTAAACCAAACAAAACATGTTCAAATATATTCTCAACGATTCCACATGTCAATAAGTTCTTGAGCCAACTCGTCGGCGGTTGTCTGTGGATATTGCACGTTGTAGCGGTATTTACTAGCGTATCTAAACACACCAGTAGGAGTGTTTGCCGTTACGTAAACTCCTCCCATACTGAAGTCGGCGACGCTAAAGTCTGTCTCGTCGAATTCGATCTGCAAAATAACATAACAAAATCTTTAGCCTATTCTTTTGATTTGACTGTCCGTTAGCTTGTGCCAGCAAAGAATAAGCCAGACCAGTCTTCAACTCTATTTCTAGGTGCAATTTACAAATTTAATGTAGAGATTCTTCCTTGCTAAACATAAAAATGGATGAAAGGTTCCTTACAATTCATAGTCATATGGTGACCTTTTTTGGAGGAACACTTCAGGTATCCCTCTGTGCATTTTGTGAGGTTTTAAGCAAGTAATTTAAAGTAAACGACTTACCATATAAAACCGAGTCTCCAATTTTCATGTTATTTTGTTGTGATTAATGCTTCCGAGGGATCACTTTGTTTCCAGATTTTTTACCCACTCGGCCACGGCCGCCCTATTTTAAAAAAACAACTTACCTTGGAGACAATGGGATCTGTGCCTTCTAGAGGGTTACCATTGGCTTTATACAGAGCCTGCATATGGGCGATCACCTGATCCAATTCTTCTTGGTCGGCCAAGATTTGATTTCCACAAACTGAAAATTGTGTGGATTTACGCGAATTATGTGCGTATTTATAACGCGTTGCCATATAAACACAAGTTTTAGATATTTTATTTACTAACCATCATAAACAGATATATTAAAACATCATTTGTTGAAATAGTTGAAATAGTATATGTAAAAGTAAGAAAAACAAAGAGGCTCTAACACAACAAAAGTACTCCTTATTTGAAAAAAAAATAAATTACCTCCTCTAATTAAAGTAGTCTGGTCACCAAGAAATGGCTGACATTCGTGACACCTTTGCATGCATTTCTTTGTTCGTTCGTCAATATGTTGACTTCTCTTAACTATAGAAGAAAGTCGCGTGGTTTTCACGCTACGCCTGCGTCTTCCTAACAGTTTGCCAAATCCTTTACCTGTATAATGAAACATAAATTATGTGTTCGAAACGCTAAACATGCAATGTATATAAACTTGAGGAACTTTGATTTTGAAAACCGAACAGAATGATATTCACAATTCAATACACACTCGAAGAACATTAACATTGGGTAGTTTTATAGTCCTTTTTGAAGGGTCAGACTTCATTAAAATATATTATAACTAAACAAAATGTCTCAAAAGGTTTTATAGGCACATTGTGCCAAAAAAAATGAATACACATTTTTCCTCTTTAGAAAGGAAGAACATGAGTTTCAAAACGTTTAAAGATCCTGTAACACATTATTTTTATGGTTTTATATACAAATTATGATGCTCAAATTAAGATTTATCGATCTTGTAAGTTTCAAAATAGTGCTAATTGTTAAAGACATGTAATATATAACAAAGGTAGGAAAATGTAAAAGTACTTTAACTTCCATACAAAATATTAAAGCACGAAAAATGTTCTTATGGCCAAAAAGCGACAGAAGAAGACATATCCGGAAAAAAGTGATACTTAGGAAGCATAAAAACAACAAAATTGCATGAAAATTGCAGACTCAGTTTGAATGAGTTTGTACATGAGGGATATAAAAAAGTGTAGCACCCCTCACTTTTTATTGAGCGGTACAGAATTCTCAACACATAAAAGTGCTGGACTCAATGATCCCGAAGAACCAGGAAAATATGACAAAACTGAAGTGAAGTACGGGGTAACTCTTTACGGCTGCCGCACAGCATTTGTAACTTGCTGTTATGATGCATAAATATTTGCCTCAGTTAAGGTTATTTGCCATTATGAAATGAAAGCATATCTGGGGCAAAATTGGTCTTCAACTAGTGACAAAGCAAGACTTACTGAGGAAACTGCCTATGCTTTTTATCCCACTGCCTATTTTGTTGCCAACATTGCCTAATGTATTCTTCACGGATGTGAATCCACTAGAAAATGCGTTCCCTAACGTGTTTTTAATGGAATTGAATCCACTTGAAAATGCATTGCCAATTCCTGTTAAAAAAAGAAATATAGCTTTACTTTGTAAGAAAATATTGGCTAAAGTAAAGTATCTAAGTAGATTATAAGAAAACATATTTCACTCTTAAGATTAACATATAAAAAGAAAAATATTTATAATAATTGATAATGAAGAAAACTAAGATTTTTTAAAGCTAAATTTTGAAACAAGAGTATATCAATATACAAAAAACGATAAATAAATTGAAAAGCATACTGCCGAAAAAGTTAGCCATGTCACTAAAGCCTTTCCAGTTTACCAAACTATTTTTTGCATCCTGGAACCAATTATCAATTTTTCCGAAGAAGTCACCCATATCCCTCCAGCCTTTCCAATCAACAATTTTGTTGCCAAAATCGTGGAACCAGTCACCAATATTATCAAGACCACCCTGTACAAGAAAATAGCCTTTAGATCCATTCTGTTGTCCATATATTTTAAATGATGTCAAAATAAAAAAGAGTTGACAGTTGAAAATTGTGTCACTTAAATGTTTTGTTCAATTAAAATTATTTCGTAGTTATAGAGGTCGGTTTTTTTTTTCATACTGCACTTGGTCATGTTATGAACTAAAGACTAAACATTTGCCTTCATTCCAGCTTTGGTTATATGAAACTAATTATTTAGAAATATAATTACTATGATCCAGTCTCCGATATCCCTGAAAATTAAAATAAGAAGAAAGTAACATTATATGCTTTTATTTGGATTACATTCCAAAATAAGATAAATAATCGAACCAAAATTGAGTATTGAGTCGAAGCTAAAGTTGTCGAGTTTTGAACATGTACTATTCGAACTATTTCATAAGTATTGTCAACAATTGAAGCAGATAATGAACAATAAACATAGTTAAAAAATCTAGTGAAGAGCAAATCCTTCGAAAAGTACTATACGAAAATTTAAGACTATGTTTGACAAAGTCTGTTTATTAAAGTTAATGGGAAAAAAGTCTGTACATGAAAAAATGCAACATCCCTCACGCCATCCAGCACCGGCTTAAAAAAGTTGTCACGTACTTCATTCCAGTTATGTTATATTTTCAGGTCCTTCTGGATCATTGATTTCAGCACTTTTAAGTGTTGAGAATTGAGTACCGCTCCAGCCGGTGCTAGAGGGAGTGAGGGAGGTTGCATTTTTTCAATATCCCTCATGTATAGACTCAGTCAAACCGAGTCTGCAATTTTCATGTAATTGTGTTGTGCTCAGTGCTTCCGGAGGGTCACACTTTATCACACTTTTTAATTAGTATTTAATGTTAGAAATTAATGGGCTGTAATCATTGATCTCAAGTGACCAGAAAATTATTACACTGAAGGGAAGAATGGTACAACTTTTTACACCTAAGTGTTTTTAAACCTTATACATACCATTGACAGCGGTCTATTGCACATGCTCTACATGCTTCCTGTGCCGTTACGATTTTTCCTCTGCATATTTCCATGCTACGATTTTGTTCAAGAAGTTCCGGTTGCAGAAGTTGATATTCTGCATCTAAGTGAGCCATAATTTTTCCATATATTGCCGACTGGAATTCTATGTTATGGAATAAAACATCGTTGAGTTACACATGTCAATAAAAGCATATTACCGTCGGTCCGTTAACGCTACGTTTACACTTTATTCTCGGTGGCCATTGCAGCCACTTTAATCCGAAATGTACTTCGTCGTTGGAATATAGCCTTTTTATCTCCATATTTAAATTTTGTTAGGTTTAGATTAATTTTCTTCCAATTTATCACGGTATTTATGACGGGACGTGACAGAGAAGAAGCGGCGTCTCCAAACGGTATTACCAGTAACGCTTGTAAGTTTATACCGGGGCTTATGTGTTCAAATTGGTTCTTTCATGTGCAGGTTTTTTTTATCTATATCGATCTCCTCAGGGGAATGCATGTATGTTGCTTACAAATTTGTAGTACGTTGTCTGATGTTGTTCTTGTGCTTTTCTCGTCGAATAATTGTTCGCGTAGGTCAAAACTTCATATGAATCAAACGTAGTATAAACAATGTAAATGTATCATAACGCATGTACCTAAAACGTCAAATACCGAAAGTCACCGTTATTAAAGCGGCACGCAAAGGTTACCGCAACAAAACGCTTTAAGGCAGCACACCACACTAAATGAAGCCGCAGCTTCGAATGGCCAGGGAGGATTTCATGGATATAGTGACTATTGTGGATTTAAATGACTGGTTGTCTTTAAAATGCATTTTCAGCATGAAATTTGTTTTTGTGACATGTAATATGATCATTGGCAAATTCGAAAACATGGTTAGAAATCACATGTTGATAATAATTGATGTCAAGGTCGCCATTGTTTGTAAACATTGCTTTTAAACAGCATGCTCGGTGAAAACAAGTAATTTTACAGGGGGGTACAAACTTTCAGCAAAAGCAAAAAATCTACAAGGCCAAGCACCTATTTCTTTGTGATATTTTGCATGCATAGGGAGTTGCTAAAGCAGTGACAGAGTTTTTGTAGACCGTATATTTGCAGGTATTTTTTGCCGGAGGGACGAAAAATGTTGTTTTTGGTCTCGGACCACTATAGATTTTTGGCTTTGACGGAATGAATTGGAATTTTTTTAACTGCCTGACTGTTACACATGGGATGATTTCATTACAGATTTGCAATGGTATGACATATATGTTCTTAACAAAATGTGTTTTCTTTTTCCAGGTTGTGTAGTTTGGGATCAGATTTATCAGACATATTGCTTGTAGGACATTGACGGCAGAAACTTGAAATTTAGTGTGGAGTGCTACCTAAACGTAACAAAACTGATAAGCAATTTCAGATGCCGGGCACTACATATGTCTTTTGTCCTAAAATGAAACTCTTCCAAGTTTTGTAGCGGTCTATTACGTAATGTTACGTTTAAAAGCGTTAACTACGTTAAACTTAGACCTATTACGTTCTTCGCCGCAATGTAGCTGTCTTGGCAAATTAGTATGCCTCCTTTAAAGAAGTTGGGGTATATTGCTTTGTCGTCGGTCCGTACACAAAACGGTTTCCGATCAATAACTATAGAACGCTTTAGCCTTAGAACATCAAGCTTTGTATGGGGATTGTTCATGACCAGAAGATGACCCCTATTGTTTTTGGGGTCTTTAGGTAAAAGGTCATATTGACCTTGAATGTCGAAATGGTTTCCGATTAATAAGTCTTAACTTGTAGAAAAAACGGTTTTCGAACAATAACTCGATAACTTGGTCCTCAAACTCATCAGTGTTTTGGTCTTGGCAAGTCATTGAACCCTATTGATTTTGGGGTCAGGGGTCAATGGTTAAGGTCACATTGACCTTGTATGTCAAACACTTACCTATCAATAACTCGACAACCCATAAACCATTGACCCTCAAACTTCACAAATGCATTGCTTTTGGTCATAAGTTGACCTCAATTGATTTTTTGGGTCAAGCAGTCAGAGGTCAAGATCACAATCACCTTATAAGTAAAAAGGTTTCTGATCAATAACTCAACAACTTATTGGTCCTTTACCTTCAAACTTCACAGATGCATTTTTCTGTTGATAACCCCTATTGATTTAAGGGCAACGGTTAAAGTCACATTGACCTTGTACATAAACGATTTTCGACCAATAACTGAACAACTCAAGTTGCCTTGGTAAATATTTTTATTAAACTAAAAATGCTTTTGGTATACAAAAACCAAGGTCTAATGTTATATTACAAAATGGCTGTCATTAAGACAGTGAAAACTTTGTCATAAAATTGCTGCACACAACCTTTCCGGTTAAAAACAATGACCTAGTGACTGGTCATGAACAGTAGATACCCTATTTTAATCTTTTGGTTACTAGGTCAAAAGTCAGTCACAAGAACGTGGCCACATGACTAATTGGCTGTCGATAGGGGACATACATGTTTTACAAAATTTCTTATTTTTATTAATTTTTAAAAATCTGGCCAAGCATCCACGGTTATAACAGTATAGCACTTTACCTTTTTTGTTTATCATTGTTGCCTAATGATTATAACACTTTCTTAGCATAGGCCTGTACATAGTTTCAATATTTCGACTGTAAGACCGACCGATTTTACAAACTGATATAACATAAATAGCGGTTGCGAAGAGCGACCATAAAAAGCCCTGGTGCATGATTTGTTGGATTAGCCGCAACCTTATAGCCGTGACCACCAACGAAGCGTTAATTTGTTTAACATTCGGAATTGAACAAATATTGTTAGAGCTTTTTAGGTTCGCAGTCGGCATATGCTTCACTGTATTAGACTTTCAACAGGTCAGAAAGACAACTGAAAAGCATGCATCTAAACAAGTAATTTTTGAAAACAAGTTAAACAGTCTTAAAATCATTTAATTTCAATAATGGTTACCAAAACAAACTGGTCTAATGTTTGTTTGATTTTGTCGGGTTTTTTTTTGTTTTTGTTTTTTTTAAAGATATGGATTTAAACCATAAAACTCTTCAAGTAAAGGCATAAACGACGTACTTTCTAAAGTAGTAGAATCCAGTTCCTTTGCATTGATACATGTGTATGACGCCAACAACACAAAGACATGTGCTAAGTACATCTGAAATTTAGAAATGAAATATTTACAATATGCATATCTTAAAAAAAGATACCATCCCTTTGAAATGCATAGTTATTATTAGAAATATGAAAGAATAGCTGTTATAACGAATAAAGAATATACTAGTATATCAGCTGACGGAACAAAAAATAACAAGAAAATTAATGAATCAGACTCTACCAATTAAAACAAACTTTCATAATAACATGAACCACCATTTTTTCAACTGTTGAAGTGTTAACTTGGCCTTCCTGATTATATCAAGTCTGCTACATTTATAAACCATTTTAAAACCGTATACTTGAGTTATTATCACACATCAATGTATACAAATTGATAATCTCCTGTTTGTATTAAACATGTATGTATTTTGATAGTTTGAATATGTTAAATTTATATTGTTCCTTGTTGAGGGCCTTATGGAAGATAAATATGTTTGTCCAAATGCGTTTTCTCGTTAAATAAAGTCTCTATCATTATTATTATTACATCTTGTATTATTATTATTATTATTATTATTATTATTATTATTATTATTATTATTAATAAAAAATTAAAAGTTCAGTCATTACAAAAAAAAATCTGCAGAAAAAAATAAATGCAAGAAAATATACTTACATTGCTAATTATGTCCGTCAAAAGGAATGTTAGCCAGACAAGGGGTTGATGCGCCTTATATAGTCCTCGTTAATATTTTTTCAACAACGTTTTTCGTATTAAGGTGGTTTTCATATAAGAACATTAAATGATGGAATAATTAAGCATTAAATTAATTTGGTCTTTTTACCTGTTAAACAGATTTGCACTTTTCTCAGAATTTTTTTCTGATGGTAAGAAAATGGAAAGGTGGCGATCCTAAGAGAATTGAAATCAAAGCTTTAAAGTGAAAATTACATACAGATTTTTTCATATAATTATATAAAAGTAGGTCAAATTAATTGTTCATGTAATCACAAAACAATTATGGAACTAAAGGTTCCACACATTTAAGGATTTAATGTTCCAAGATCATTGCCATAGTCATATCTATATTTTGAAAACCGCTAAAGTCGATGCCGTGGAGGGGGGGGGGAAATACGGGTTAAAAGTAGAAATCATATCATAAAAATAAGCAGGTTTCTAGTATTGTATAGGTTTACAACTTGAATCAGACCAAATGGTAAAAGATCTTTAGAAAATTTCTTAATTGTGATGAGATACCTTAAATTAGCACGGAACATTTCTGCACGCATCGGAATGTATCTTGAGGGTTGATCAAAATATGAATGTACAACATCAATTTCAATAATAATTTTCAAATGATATGCGAAACATTTAAACTTTTTTGTTTTTTTGCTTGACGTCCTTTGTGCTCATTTACGTCCACACCATCCCGTAGCATTCGTTTATTTGGTGTCAGAATAGTAAACGTGCTTAAGGTATGATCCACCTGATGCATTACCTCCACTTTGAAGAGTATTCAAATAGGCCAGAACTGCTGTGAACTGCATTGTAACTGAGGGGCGCGGGTTCAAGCCCCAGAAGAGGCAACTTTTTTTTCTTTTATTTTCTTTGAACATTATTTGTGTCTCTCTGATCACTCTTGAGAAGAAAAAAGTATTTCATTTTAATTATGAAATTATTATTCGTATTTATTGTCTACATTGTGCCAAATTTATTAAATATGGTACCTGATATTTTCGAAGTCTAATAAAATAAAAACTAGATGGTAAAAGTATTTTCTATTTTACAAGCGCAACCAATATACATTTAAGAAATTTTATGCAAACTTTGAAAGCAGCCCCTGAGTTAATTTTAAGGATATTTTGAATAAGGCCCTTCAAGTAGAAAAATGATCAAACAACTACTTAAAAAGGGTGGGGTAGGGTAACATTTGTATACCCTACATTTTGAGTAGAAACAATTATTTTGCTGAGTCATTTGTTAGCTAAATGCCATTACATGTATTTGTTTCTTAAAAATGTTTTATAGGAAAATATTTTTTCATAATGATTATAAATAAAATATTTAGAGTTTCTCATTTCTGAAAAAGAGCCCTTCTAACAGCCAATTTTTACTTGTTTAAATTTTGCATTCTTGTGTCTTTTAAGGTATGTAACTGACAAATGTTGTCAATTTTATAGTTAAGTACGAGGGTGGGTCAATATGTAATACAATATGGTCGATAAATGTAACTAAAGAGCAAAATACTTTACAATTTTCTTTTCCAACCTTTCGAAATAATCTACCCCTACAGAAATCAAAGTTTCAGACGCTTTTGAAATGCTTTAACATAGTCCTCCTAAAGTATACCTTTCAATAACTGAAAAATGGCAAACCAAAGTCAATTGTAGCGATGACATGCAAGATGTGTTTCCATCTAGGAAAGAGGAAAAAGTCACTGAGTCCCAAATCTGGAGAATACGGTGGATGTTTTAAGGACAGTCACTTGTTTTTTTCTCCACAAAATTAATTAGTGTAGCACCTTCGTATACAGGATCGTTGTCATGCAGAAAATACAGGCCTTTCATACGAGTCGAAGTAATGTTTTTATTTTTTCTCAACATGACATCTCTTTAATACTTTAAGAAACAGGAATTAGGACACCAGTTTCACGGGTATTGAAAAAAACCGCGTACATAACTTCCTTGACACTTGCCAATTGCTTGGCTAACATTTTTAGAGGCCCATATGTTATTATAACATTTGATATCAAATTCTTCCAGCTTGCAGTAAACACGACTTTCGGTGCTTTGATTCAATTAATCTCTATTGGGGAATGTTCTTAGTTGGTAATACGGGTCTTTTTTCCCCGGCAGCAGATGTTTTCGTGCTTAAAGATAATTCGTAGACATCGACGTTTCTCATTTCTGAAAACAGCCAATTTTTACTTAAGAAAAATCTCCATAACTCGTAAACCATACGGTAAACTTTGTTTAAATGTTGCATTATTGTGTCTTTTAAGGTATATAACTGAAAAGAAAATGTTTTATGATAACTCATATCCATTGTGAAAAACTTCTATGAAAGGAACCTTCAGCATTTTAACTGTTTGAAAGCTTTAACAGGCAATTTGCGACCATAACCAAAGTTCCGCAAAAAAAAATGTCTGAGCTTAAAAAAATTATACAGTAGTTACAGTGGCTAAAATATGGATTTTTGATTGAAAATTGCAGAACAAAAATCTATGACGACAAATATTTTCTCTCATATAAGCTTTCAAACAATCAATATATTTTTGTTATATGGCTATTTCAATAATCGCATAATATTGGCGAGTTGATTTTTCCGCAAAACACTTCAACTACTGATATTATACTCATGCCTTTTTAATGGTTTCTATAAAATGTGTTCAGAAACCTTCGGCTTAAATCATAACTTGATATCGTTTAAAAGTGTTTTATTACCTCTTTAATATTTGAGCCGCGTCATGACAAAACCAACATAGTGGGTTTGAAAGCAGCATGGATCCAGACAATCCTGCGCATCCGTGCTGTCTGATCAGAATCCATGCTGTTAACTTACACATCTATTACAAGTGGAAACACTGACAGCGAACAGCTGGTCGCAAACCCACTATGTTGGTTTTGTCGTGACGCGGCTCATTTTTAGTTTTTAAAGGATTTTACAAATGCTCTTGAAGGATGCCTCTGAACATTACATCAAATTTTATGGCAATCCACAAACATCGCTTTAAGTGCTTTGATTTATTTGTTGCTATACATGAATTAAGTTTGCATTATGCAACTTAAAAAAGTAGTCATAAAAAGGGCTTTCGCGATGTCTTTTTATTGTTTGTTTTTTATAAGGAAAATTACATGATATAACTTAATTTTACAATGTTTTAATTTATTTAGTAAGTCAGTCTTGTGGCCGGTTCTGAATATATCTGGTAAAATACCGCTCAGTTGTTATCTCTAATTGTAAAACAATACTGATATTTAAATCGGATAAGATTAAATAACTTCTCTTAATTTGTTGCTCGCTACAAAGTGAAATTGGTAAATATTACAAAAATTATTTCCACTTTCACGTGCATGTGTATATAATGTTATTAATTCGTGCGCATAACTTAGTCAGATTACCACAGACATATGTCGCCGACAATAATTAACTTCAAATCAATTTCTTAGCATTTCAATAAATCCGAGATTAGCATAACAAGCATTGCTATAATAAGAATTTATTATCTTTATTATTTATTCATAATCATACAACATAAAATTGCACTGAAAGAAAACAAATTTCTTACGCAACATACACGTTTTACATGTACATTGAACTCACTTAATTTCGTAGTCATGCACTTTCGTAGTTTTGTCAAAATAATAATTATGTGAGTTTTAAAATGCGTGGACTGTTTTTTTAATGCAAACAATGTCAGCCCAAAATAATCTTACAGCAGACAAAATAAAATTCGGCTGGGTGTTACAAATCGTAGATTGAACTATCCACGAAAACCACGAAAATTAGTTCACCACGATAATAATGAGTTTGAAGTATATAAGATCTTTATAGTCGAGAATTTAAAAGTACACAGGGGTGGCAAGAAATGCGCACCACCAGTAAAATATAGTATTATCTGGCCTGTTTGTGCAGTGGTTACGTCGCTTGTTTTGCATGTGGAAGGTCGTAAATTCAAATCCTACCAGGGGGTAATACTTTTATTAGACCTTTTTATTTTATTTTCTTATTTCTTTTGTTTTACTTTATTTTTTTATTATCATTTTTATCATACTCGATTATTGATCTGTCAATTAAGAATGAATACATATAAAGCACTCATCTACTTCGTTTTTGTCCGTCTCGTTTACGAGAATATGGAGTATATAACCCAGGTTTTGAAAGTCACGCCGAGTGTAGGACAAAATTGTCCGCCCAGTCATTTTCAAGGGGAGGGCTTTTATCCGCTTTGTCATTTTTGGGCGGAAGGGCTTGTCCGTTTCCCCATCACACCAGCTGTTGTTACATTCGCAATAGCAGTCGGTTAAATGATTGCCGGACATGCGAGAGATATGTGGTTGAATTCCTACTGTTGCCATTGTTTTAAATCTCTTATTTTTTGCAGAATATTTTAATGCAAATGGCAGTGTTCACACGGATATTCGTTCAAATGCTTTGTAATTTATCAGTCAGGCCGCTTAGGCATAACGTCCTTGTGATTATATTCCTACGAATTAGAAAACTAGCCATGCATTATTCTACAACAATGCACTCTGAATCGATATCCATTTCATAAAGAAAAGAGCACATGTCAATGTTTGTGGTTATTAAATTTATTGTTATTAAAATAAAAAGGACAGAGTAGGGGTTTTTTATGGTGCAGGCCTACAAGTGGATGTTAAGATGGATGGTTTGTTAGTTTCGTATGATCGTTGCCTTACAGAAAGCAATGCTTGCCGTGTGGAAAAACTGTCGATAATCTTAAGTTGTGCATTTGGTTTCAGTGCAAATTTGTATATACATATTTGGTATGAGAATTTGCAGAAATGAATTGATTACACGATGGTTTACATTTAATTGAAATTTGGTTATCATCAGAATTTTGGCTATGCGTAAAATACTGAGAGGTTGCAAAAGTGCGTTTGTAAATTTGTTTATGCAATTGAATGCTCGGAATTGTTTAATTGATCATCATTCAATACCACATTCATATGACGTTACTCAAGTTCCATATAGTCTTGAACACTTTAGATAAGATGGATGTAAATAGAAAGAAAAGGAACTTATTTTATTTATCGACCTGCCGAATAGCCGAAATTCTGACAATTATCAAATTTTAATACAAAGTAAACCACTTTGTAGTCACATTTCTATAAATTTTGATACCAAATAAAATAAACACCAACATAAATATATCTGTCAATATATTTATTAACGTTTTTAACAATTTACGTCAACAATTTGTAACAACAACAACCCTGAAATAGGAAACATTTCACTTAAACACGATGAAAGTGTTCACTGATTTCAGAAGCAAAAACAATTTTAAATTTGTTTTCTTGCTTGAAATGTTTCCATTATTAACTCCACATTTCGATAAGTTCTTGGGCGAACAGATCGGCTGTGGTCTGTGGAGATTGCATCAAATAGCGGTGTCTACTGGCGTATCTAACTACACCGTTAGGCGTTGTTGCCGTTACGTAGACTCCTCCCACACTGAAATCGGTAAAGTCCAAGTCTGTCTGTTCGTATTCGATCTGAAAAATTGTAAATAAATCTGTAATGAAAATATTTAACAGATTCTGCTGATGAGTTGCTGTTTTTTTAGTTAGCATTTGAACACAAGTGCTGGTATTCCACAATGTATCTTAAAAATATTTCTAATGTAAGCAATCAGTGATAGTAGCGCACCGCACCATCACGTGACAGGGAGTTATTTAAACATCAGATATTGCAGAGTCTAATTTCTCCATGTATAATTGTGGGCTTTGGCGGAGTAGAACTATCGACGGTTTAAAAATACTAGGTCCGTCGGAATTCAAATAGGTTGGGCACTTAATGAAAATTTGGCAAAACAGATTAGTATGGTGACAAATCTACAAAGGTAATAGCATCATTCAGATCTTAAATGTTAAAATTTCTATTTAACTTGGGATCTTTTTACTTTAAACACAATAGAATGCATTTTAAAATTATGATATTCTTACTTTAGAGATAATAGGCGTTGTTCCTTGAAGAGGATTGCCATTGGCAACGTAAAGAGCCTGCATCTTGGACATCAATTCCGTCATAGCTGCCTCTTCCACTAGGATGTCATCCCCACAAACTGAAATCCATATTTGTCAAATTAGTGTGTAAATTGTACAGAAAAGTTTACTATTAGTTAAAACACTATTTTAATGGTATTCTACTTAAAATAAGCTATGTTTAATTTATGGATTTTAATTATATTTGAAAAGTATGTAAATGTTAAAAAGGGAAATCAAACAAAAGTACTCAAAAAGTTAAAATTGAATCGGATCTTTTCACCGTGTTCGCTTTGAATGTATCTTAGGCCCATTTATGCTTCCACAATGCTACTATTTTCATTTAACAAAAATGTTTTTTAAATACGATGTTCTGTTGCTATATCCTAAAAAGTACTCCGAGCCTATAGCCGAACATTCTATTTGCTTGTTTGCAACTTGAAAATCTGCGCTGTTAAAAGTGATTATTTTGTATGGAAGTTAACATGCCCGTTTGTTTACATTTTGCTACCTATTTCACATTCAGTGCTATTTTGTTATGTTGAAAAGCCTCTCGTATTTTTTTTTATTATTAAAACATTAAACAAATGTTTGCGTCATGATTTATGAGGTATAATGTGTCTTTAAGACTAAAATCGGGTACAGCTGCGGAAATATAAAGTTAACGTTATATAGAAATGCCTTTCAGTTCAATTTTGAATTTTGACTTTCCATGTTACTACCATCTGTTTAATAAATACTGTTGAGTATAAGTTAAAAAATTTGTTAAGTACTGGTAAGCAAGAGTGTAAAACTTGATAACATTGGTATAGGAAGCACTGGGGATATATAACTTGCCGTGCAAATGGACGGTTAAATGACCAGTCAGGGAGCATACAAATTTTTCAAAAGATTTATTACCTCCTCCAATTAAAGCTGTCTGGTCACCAAGGAATGGTGTACATTCGGTACATTTTTGCATGCATTGTCTCGTTTGTTCGTCAAGTTCTTGTTGTCTTTTGGCCATGTAACGATGTCTTACTGTTCGTAGTTTATGAACCATCATGGCGCGTTTAACGCTTCGACGGCGTCTTCCAAATACGCTTTTAAATCCACTGCCTACACTTTTAAATCCATTGCCTGTATCAATAGAAATAATTTTACTGTAGATAATATACGTTATACATAGAAAAAAGTTGAATATCTCCTAGTTATTCATGTAAATGAAAACATAGCCGATCCTGAAACGGAATTAAGGGAAATAACTCTATTTACATTACATGAAAGTCCAACGAATGATTTAACCACTAATGATTTGCCCTGGTTTTCAGTTTGGAAAAGTTTAACCATTCAATATTTCAAAATTAAAAATGAAACTAAGCTGCCGAATGTCTCGCAAGTATATGTATACATATACGAAACCATGTAAGTACAAAACAAAAACTTACCAATTTTATTTCCAAAGCTGCCAAGTCCGTTGCTAATTTTGTTGCCAAAACTGCTCAACCCATTTTTAACCGAATTAAATCCACTAGAAAATGTATTGCCAATTCCTGTAATTGTAAAATTGAAATCAGACCCTTTAGACAAACTGTTTAGTAAAATGCAATATTTTCAATTACATTTTTAATTATATATTTTAATTTTATCGGAATCAGAAATGGAGATCATAATTTTACAGTGTTATGTTAAAAAGTGTACATGTATATTTTTAAAGATTGTAGCTTACCGCTGAAAAAGTTGGACATGTCTTCAAAGCCTTTCCAACCAACAATACTATTTCCGGCACCCTGAAACCAATTGCCAACTTTTCCGAAGAAGCCGCCCATTTCTTCCCAACCTTTCCAATCTACGAAACTGTTGCCAGCTCCCTTGAACCAACCACCCATGTGACTTAGACCACCCTGAAAAAAATTCAACACGATAGCTAATGCAATATAGTCAGTGTGATAGTTAATTTACACATTTAGTTTTTTTAAAGAAATTCAAGTTAAATCTGATTAAAGTGCAATTTGTCGGAAATTTGCCACGTTACAGAATGCTAGGAAGTAATTGTATTCAAGGTATTAAGTGCTTTTTGTCATTTTATTTATATTTTATATGAAAATGTGCATGACTTTTTAAATGCATAAAAAGTTGAGGAACTTGGGAACATTTATGTTACTAGATGTGCGTGATAATCATCAAACTGCATCGATTAAAATAGGTTTTGATTAATAAATAAAAGTTTTAAAATTACCATGATCCAGTCTCCGAAATCCCTGAAATTTCAATTCCACTAACGTTAGAAATTTGAAACACATTCATGATACATTAAATATATTTAAAATAGTATGTACATAAAAAACAACAAGTTTGTTATAAAATTGATTTTGAACAAAAAACAAACTTGATAGATATTTTACGTTAAAAATCTACTATCCCTAAATTTGATATCAGAAAATATTGATAATTGCTACACAGTCTCTTTCTAAATCAGATTGAAAATAAACCGGTTTTGACTTCATGAAAAGTAATCATGTTTAAAATTCTACATTAGGTTATAATATTAATATACGTTGTTAAAAATTGGGAGTTTTTAGGTTTACTTATCTGTAATAGGGAACACAGCTTCCCATACATTATTCAAAATTTAGACATTATGTAGAGTTTACATAGAATTCAATAAATTTGTGATCAAAATATTTTACTCAAGGATGAGCATTATCCTAATATATGATCAATTCAAGTAATTAAACAAAAGCAATATACTGTTCAGTACCCTTCACATTCTCTACTGGCACAAATTCTACATGCTTCCTGGGCCGTTTCTACTTCTCCTTTGCAAAATTCCATGCTGCGATTATGCTCAAGAAGTTCTGGCTGTAGTAGTTGGTACTCGGCATCCAAATGAGCCATAATGTTCCCATATATTGCCGACTGGAATCCTGTAAGATGAAATTTATTACCTTAATAACCGATACTCGGAAACCAATTTGGAAACCAGCTGCCGTATTTCTTATATGTTTAACTAAATTTAAGAAACGGACAAGGATCTTGGTGAGTTTGATCAAATATGATGGCAAGACCAAAGTTTATCCATCGGTTGAATGGTTTTGCAGTAATCGCAGCTGGAATTTCTATATAATCAGATCATCAACAGGAAATGATATACTGTCACAAAACAATAATTAGGAAAGCAATACTTGACTGCTGAAAATGGCTTTCCTTGATTTCAAGTTCATTTATTCCATAACTAATGTGAACGCAATGACATATATGAGGGCATATCTTCCAAACATGTATCCAATTAGCTATGAAAATATTTGAAATCTCGATGTTGGTCCTTTGTAAATGCAAAAATGACAAGATTCTTGAAATGGTAGATAAAAGTTCTAAACATAATATAGTAACTTACCCTCTAATGTTTTAGGATCCATTTCGTTTGCATTTATATATGAGGTAAGCAGCAGAACGACAAATGCAAAGTACATCTGAAAAGTTCAATAAAAATTTTATTTTAAAATAAGAAAATAAAACATGTTCAAGCTCTTCGACTTGCTGATATTACATGTCAGTGGCGATTTTGCGCGTGTGTATTGCATTTACAATTGATTAAAGAGGTACATGTATATCGAAACATTTTTGTTTTATGGTAAGGTCTTATATGGAGGCGTTAAACTAAAAGATCCTTCAGCTTTCAATAAAATATGCGAGAAAGTTTGCAAATGCGTATTCTAAAATCTCGGAATTTCACCCCACGAAATGAAGGAATTACCAGACTAGAGTCCTTCTACAAAATAATTCTTCAGGGGCGGTGAAGGGCGGGGGTCTACACAGAAAGTGTGCGTCAAGAACGTGCCTTATAAATGAAGGTTGCATTAAATTAGTAGACGTAATTTTATACGTGATAATTCGAAAACAAGTATACAAAAAATAAAGAGTTCAATGATTTAAAAAGATTTTTCCAATTGCAATCATGTGCGAAGGTTTTATTGCGTCTTTAAAGCTACTCTCCCTTAAACATCAACATTTGTTTACAGTTATTAAAGATGTAAAGAAGTAAAATTTGCAGGTTTTACGAAATAATTGACTTATGTTTCAATTGACATAGATATAAAAATAATATCACACTCGTGAACATGTTGCGAGTAGGACAGTTTGATGCAGGCAGAACTTGCTATATAAATGTCAGTTTTAAACCGGATTACCGATATATGTTCTCTTTATGTTTCTATTTATAGACATATTTTTCTATGACATAGCAGGATAAAATTACCAAGACAACAATTTAAAAATCATGTATGTTTTGTGATTCATATTGTTACTGTGTGAATACTGTGTGTGTATTTGCGTTTATTTATACTCGCCACCGGTTGCCCATATGGGCGAGCCCTCCAGAAGAGTATTAGTCATTTTATTTTTCGGAGGATAGTGCAATTACAGATACAGAAAGATGCCCCAGTTCCAAATTTTCCCGGGTCTACGGCCGGTTACCCCCAAACGGACCTCGTTTTAAAGTTCATAAAATGAGAAATTTTATGGACCAAAACAACCCCAAAAATGTCAAGATTAAAGTTCCGAAAACATTGAAGTTTATTGGGGCGTTAATATCCCCACTTCAAAAAATTTTAAGAATATTATTATGAATAAAAAAAAACTCCCAAAAAAAATTTTAAAAAAAAAATGTCCCTTCAAATTTTTGTGCACAATTTTTTAACATAATATATGCATTTCATTTTTATGGAAAATTTGTTTAGAAATTTTTTGAAAAAAATTTTTTTCCCCCCCTTTTTTTTGTAAATTCAAAAATTTTTTAAAAAATTTCCCCTTTTTAAAATAAAAAATTTAAAATTTAAAAAGATCTATTATGTTTTCCCAAAAAAAATTTTTTTACAATCTTTAACGGATGCGTGTATAATTAAAGTCAATATTTACAAAATAAAATGTTGCAACGGTTTAAAATTACAGCAAAAAACTTTACTTCTTTGTGTGTGTGTTTTTTTTTTGTTTTTTTTCGAACAAAAATGTAAATAATACAAAGCAATAAAATTCTTACCTTGACAGAGCTGTGTTCGTGTGTCCAGGGATAAAGCAAAAAGACTGGATAACGTTATCAACTCGAGCTTCTCTTTATATAGCCATGGTTAGCTGTTTCCCGCCAAAAACGCATGAAAAATCCGAGAATAACGAACATGATGATATTATCTATTATTTGTTTAAGGTAGTTTTCATATTAATAGAATTAATTGTTGTCCTTTTGTATATAAAGAAACATTTTATAAATATTGAGTTACTAACTTTAATATAAATATAGATATAAAATACAATGCATGACAATAAAATACTAATAGTAAATCGAATATGCAGAGTCATTACGAAAATGTAACACAACTAACCGAATGCTTAAAAAAACACTTTCTTACCGTTTCCAAAGACAAACGAACTTTAAAAAGATACTCGGCCGAAGTACAAATGGCTAACTTGCATAATTATGTTATTTTTAAGTTTTCGATACAAATAGAAATGTAAGCAATCCTTGCAAAACAATGGTATAATAATTATTTCTTGTAACTAAAAAAAATAATTTTTAAACTAAATTGTAGCATATTGACATTGATGTAGGACAACTCCTATTTTACAGTATTGATTTATGTGTCCCTTTTACTTGTTTTTACGTTAAAATGGTAAGTACTTTCCTTTACATTTTATTTTTGGATGGTAAAACAATCCTTTACATATTATTTCAAAATAACCAATGAGATTTCCAGATTTCGGATTGTAATTATAAAGTGACCAATGAAAATTCTTCTTACATCAGTCCTTTCCTGTTAATTTTACAGGAAGTCAAACTGATTTCAGGACGGATTTCGTCCGACTAAATTCATAGTGACCTTATGGTTGCTATTTGGCTGTGAAAGGGAGGTCACTACGTTGCGTATTGCTTATTGTGAATCAGTTTATTGTATAAATTTTCAATCACGCAGATATCGTCTCTAAACTTTTAAATATAAGCTATGACCAGTTTGTAAAATTATATGAAACGGTTGTGTTTGCATGTTTGAATGAGTTTGTTAGAATCACTAATTTAACGATTGTTCGTGCATTCTGCATACCAACCAGTACAGACCTTTTCACCAAATATTCCATAAATCATATCAACAAATGGTGTTGCTCGTACTCAGAAAAAGAGTTGTTACATATAAATTTATTCGTGGTCCATATTGCTCTGCTTGCTTGATGGACTTATCAGATGGTAATTTTTTAATAGGCATATTTTGATAACAAAGTGCTCCGCTGTGATGAGATACCTTAAACACATAAATGCCCACCTAAAAAGATTGACACGTGTTTTTGAGGGGTGATACAAAACTGCCTAGGTACTATCACCAAGAACGTAATTCGAGATTTGCACAAAGTCCATTGCCTTACAAAGAATACACGTTATAATATTATCCAAAATAGTTACATGATGGTTCCAAGTTCATAATTAGAAATACATGTATGTCTCAAACTGAATATTATCATATCAAATGAAGATAGAAAAAAGATGTATAGCAAGTTTCTGCATAGATGATAAATCAATTATGTAACATATGAGCCGCGCCATGACAAAACCAACATAATAGGTCTGCGACCAGCATGGATCCAGACCAGCCTGCGCATCCGCGCACTCTGATCAGGATCAATGCTGTTCGCTTACAAACCGTATAACAAGTAGAGAAACTGATAGCGAACAGTATGGATCCTGATCAGACTGCGCGGATGCGCAGGCTGGTCTGGATCCACGTTGGTCGCAAACCCATTATGTTGGTTTTGTCATGATGCGGCTCATATCATGTTGAATGTTACGTCATTAATGTTAAAATATGCCACGTAGCATTAACTCTATAAATAACAACGTAATATATGTCATAAAGTATCAGTTATTGATAATTATCACCTATTAAAAAACCATTATAAAATAATCTCACCTTGAACATAAGGAACAAAATTACTCTCAAGAATCCGTTTACTATATAAATATTTTATAAAGTAAATGATAATTTGATCATTTTTGGCAAAGCAAATGTGCCGAATGCCTGTGGTACGGAAAGCCTAAATATATTTGTTTTCTGACGACAAATAAATATGTCAAAATAATATTTTGTTTTCTTAAAACCTAATCCAAATAATAGTTTAATTTCTACATTAAATTTTAGCAAAAGTAAAAAAAAAATGAAAGCGTCTTCCTTTGAAAAATTTTGACCACCCCTTTTTGTATATGCGTTATTTTAGACTAAATTACACAAAGAAAATCGCGTGGTATGCATGATTGTCATAGTTACATGTTATACATGTATAATGTATAATATGAATGAAAAACATACATGTACTTTTTTAAAAATAGCTATTGTTTATTTAGTCGATGGTATATAAAGTAAATTTGTTGCCCGAAGAATTTCGACACTTATTAGGGGGTGGTGTTTCCGCCAGTCTGTCTGTAGACAATTAGTTTCAATATGGTTACATTTGAAGCAGCATATCAAAAAACTTATTCATATTTGGCACAAGATATAGATAGGTTCAGATCGAAATTGGCTGCAATCAACTTATAATCGATAATATTAGCCGTATAATGTTTCGGGCTGACTAATCTTTCACTTGAGTGCTACTGTTGTGTACTATTTGTTCATTAAAAAACGCCACAAAACAACTATGTTTCACCAAAATAATGTGTGTTTGTTTGTTGTTTCATTTTACGCCTTTTCCCAACAGTATTTCAGTCATATAGGCGGGTAGTTTCCAACCATCGTTCCTGGAGAGTTACACCAGTACTAGACTACCTTCTTCAGCGCTAAACTACCAAAGCATCTCCCGGGGATCGAACCCACGCCAGAGAGGTAACTGGATTAGAAGTCATCGACTCTAACCCCTCGGAGGCGGTTCTACCAAAATAATGTGTAAGAGCACGTGTTGACATGGAAAAATAATGTGTAAGATGGAAAACTCAATTTTGAGTTCCTCCAAGGTTTTCCAATCATTTTTTGTTAAAGAAATAAGAAAAAAAATGCCACAAAATAATAATGTTTCACCAAAATTATGTGTAAAGCCACGTGAAAACATGGAAAAACTCGATTTGAGGTTCCTCCTAGGTTTTTCATCATTTTTTGTTAACTGTTGTTAACTGATGTCGTAACTAGTAATGTGTCCATAGGACACGGGTGCCCCCACCGCGCCACTGTTCTGTCAATCTTATGACTCTAGGTCAAATATTTTTTTGAAAACTAAAAATCTTTTACTAAGTAAAGGGCAACTGAATAAATCCACAAGCAAACCCCAAGGTGCATAAGTACACATGCCGACCAACATTCTTGTAAACTTTCAGGCCTACAAGTGAAATACTTTTTGAGCTATGCATGAACAAGTTGAAAATTGCAAATTTATACTACTGTAAGTCAAGGGTAATAACTCTAACAAAACTGAAAAAAATCCACATGCAAAGTCCCACACACAAGTTGAAAATTGCAAAATTTTACTAAGTCAAGGGCAATAACTCTAAAAATACTAAAAATATCCAGACGAAAATACCCAGGTGCACAACTACACATGCTGATCAACATTCCTGTAAAGTTTCATGACTCTAGGTCAAATACTTTTTGAGTTACATGCGACACAAGTTGAAAATTGCAAATTTTTACTAAGTCAATGGCATTACTCTAAAAATACTAAAAATATCTAGACGAAAATACCCAGGTGCACAACTTCACATGCTGATCAACATTCCTGTAAAGTTTCATGACTCTAGGTCAAATACATTTTGAGTTACATGTGACACAAGTTGAAAATTGCAAAATTTTACTAAGTCAAGGGCAATAACTCTAAAAATACTAAAAATATCCAGACGAAAATACCCAGGTGCACAACTACACATGCTGATCAACATTCCTGTAAAGTTTCATGACTCTAGGTCAAATACTTTTTGAGTTACATGCGACACAAAAGAGAACGGACGGACGGACGGACGGAAGGACGTTCTCACAGGACAGTAATTATGTGGCTACTCTATTGTTCTCTCTATTGTTCTTTTTAGCCACACAAAAGAAAATAGCCACATAAAAGCATTACGGAATGAATGACATCAAAGAGAAAGAACAGTTACCTATTGTCCCTCTAGCCACATAATTACTCTCCTGTGAGTGCGGATGGACGGACGGACGGACAAGGGTAAATCTAAATGCCCGCCACTAAAGTGGGGGCACAAAAAGCTCCTTGAGGGTCACTTTTCGACGTTTTTCATCCGAAATTTGACAAGGAGCTTTATTCAGAAGAACTGTCGAATAGAAATCCTCAATTATCTGATACAAGGAAAAAATGTGTTATTCATCAAATAAAAAAGCACATGACAAGACATAAAAGTTCGTCACCGTAGTACATGTAATAAGATGTTCTGTTCCTATTGTCTGTCCGTTTACTGTCTTTCTTTCCGTCCGTCCATTTATCGTATGTCTCTTTGTTCATCGACCTGACTGTTTCCGTCCGTCTATCTATTTGTCTTTTATCTATTGCTGCATGTTAAAATATTGGTAACTTTCCATGCCTTTCACTTAGAAAAACACAGCAGAACATACCCAATAAGCCAGTTTTTTTCATCATATGAATAGTTTTGTAACAAAAATTTATAAGTAATTCTCTTTAAAAAATTAATGTATCATTATTTTAAATAGGAACTGTAAATGTTTTTACCTGCAGACATAGACAAATGCATAAGTTTTCAGAAAATGTATTATTTTACTGATATTGATATCTGGTTAATTAGTTTTACTTGCTACAAGTTTGAAGTTTAGCAAGCATTCGTGTAATTTTAACAGGCTAGGAAGATGCTTATCTCTGTTATCTATGTCTCTGATATGAAAATATAAAATCTCATGTTTAATACAATTCAATTAAGCTTTTGTGCTACAAGTGAAAACAAGTAGAGATTTTGATGCTAAAGCATCAAGTCGCTGGATAGAAAAATGATTGTATTATCATGACGTAAGAAAATATCAGTTTAATGGTTCATGTATTAAGAAAAGAGGAACAATATGTTGAGTTATGTTTGCCACCGAAGCTTGTAAGACAAGTGATATGCTGGTAAACTACTTTATACATATACTGTCG